TTGACCAACTTGTTACTTGCGAAAATCGATGAAATCGTATAAAAAAAAATTTTTTTTTGTCTGTTCGTTTTCCGTTCTCCGTTCTCGTATGTTGGTTTTTCCTGAATAACTTTCGAACCGTTGGAGCTACAAAATTAAAATTGGCCTTCTTTTTAACACTCCACGAAGCACATACGCTTATAAGAAATGGCCCTGATCCGACGCCGGCATTCATCTTTTTTTTGGCGATTTTCGACTGTTTTTTGGACCTTGCTATGAAACACAATAAGTGTCCGAAATTTGAAGCAATCGACTTCATATTTGGCACATAAGTGCAGCTTTGCCCCGTGACGGAACCTATTGAAAATGGGGGGCTGGAGGGTCAGGAAGTATTCTAAAAAAATAAAAAATCGCGGGAGCAAGGGTATATAAAAAACATCATTTTTCAAAAATTGTTTACGAGACCAAAAAAATTCTTGAACTAGAAGAAGCAGAAGATACGGCTCTATAAACATTTATTCTTGACAATTTTTTAAAAATATAGAGGGTGCGCAGCAAATAAAAAAAAACTGAAAAATGGGCCCCCCTAATATTTAAAATTGGTTATAACTGAAACACTATGATTCAGATCTCACTTTCTTCTATATTACGATATAGCTCGAATAAACAGGAAAACTTTTGTATTTAAAGGTTTTCACGTACTGTACAGGGTGTTCCCGATATTCCGTGCTAAATGTTGTGTCCTAAATTTGCAGATATCAACTTCAAATTTAGGAGAGAAGTAAATGTGCGTTTCCATATTTAAACGAAATAAAATTTTACCAAGTATTTTTAAAAAATATACAAGGTGCGCCGCAAATTCAAAAAAACTGAAAATGGGTCCCCCTATTTTTGAAAATTGGTTATAACTGAAAGACTATGATTCAGATCTCACTTTCTTTTATATTGTGATATAGCCCCCATAGACAGAAAAAACTTTTGTATTTAAGGTTTCACCTATTTTAGAGGGTGTTCCCGATATTCTGTTCTAAATGAGAAAGGAATTTTGCAGAGAAGTAAAAGTCCGTGTCCGCATTTAAACTGTAGAAATTGAGCGCAATGCAAGTATTTTTTAAATATATATGAATTTTTTTTTTGGTAATTTTAGCTTCCACAAAAATATGTCTTCCTCCATAACGTCCATGCATTGGCAAAATTCTTTAACCGGCAGACGCAGAAGATCCAGTGCAATAACATTTTTTGGATTATGTACGGGGTTTTCAAATTATAGGCAAAAATCTAGAAAATTGTTCTTTTACAGAGTAAATTATTATCCGCAAATCAAAAATCGTAAAAAATATGGCCAATTGGTTCAAACGGTGTCAAAGGCAGCATCAAGAGCTACAATTTTTGTATTTGCGGTTTTCGTGTATCACATACTCAGCTCGGGATATTTGAAAAAATCCATAATGAAATCGTTATTTCGGTGGCTGTCAAGACGCGATGACGTCATTGATTATTCCGGCGCTCTGCACGGTTTCAGAAAAAACTTATTTTCTCGAAAATCATTTACTATTTTCAAAAAATTCTTGAACCAGGACGCGTGAAAAATCCAGGGCTATAATCTCTACTTCGAAGAATGATTGTATCATATACAGGGTGTGTCGCTTATGGGCAAAAAACCAAATATATCCTAAAAATTTTCGTATTTGTGGATAAATTATTGGCGATAAGTGAAAAACCGTTAAAGATTGGATAATTTTATTTTAACAGTATCGTAAACCGTGTCGTGAGAAAGTTCCAGGTTTCGTCAATTATACAGGGTGCGAGATATTTGAAAAAATATCATTCGACAACGCTATTATTTGTGCAAATTTTAATTTGTTTGCTGTAACTTTGAAGTTCAACGATATGTAAAATTAAAATAAAAAAAAATTAAAAGCCCTTAAGAAATACCAGCTAACCAAAACACCCTAATTTTTTCGAAACAAATTACTGTTTTAATTAAAAGCGTCCTTTGTGTAAATCAATAACGCGGTTTTTTAGTGGACAAGGCCGATGAAAATATCAATCAAGCATAAAAGCGGTGTATAATTACGTATCAATTATATCGATACGAAACCGCATGATATTAACACGTGGGCTCAGAAAATCCATCCCGTATCTTATTATAATTATAGGATTTGGTTTAATTAAGGATTTTCTAGGCGCTAAATTGAATACCGTTATTAATGACTTTTTTTTTGTAAATGAAATAATCGTTTCGCAATGTAACGCGTTTAAAATTTTGCGAGGCGCTAATTACTAACGCGCCCGTGCCAAATCGCACTCGAATTAAATACGTACCATTTCCGGGGACTAACAAGGCGCACATTAAGTAAAACCGATACTTAAATCGGCGAACTTCCAATTAAGATCGAAAAGCAAATAAGAAAGATCCCAGAGCAGGGTTCTTTTTCGACATTATATCAGAAAAGACCACCTGGTGGCAGGACACTCAAGCGCAATAAAAAAAGCAAGACATCAGAAACAATCTTTTCATACGTTCTCTGCGTATATTTTTAGCGAAAATTGGCAACAACGCCGTTTTCGTTTTGTCTCTTATGTGATTACGTCAATCGAACGTTGTTTCCTGCTTAACTATAAATTTCTTAAAAAAATTGTTTTGTTCGATAATTTTAAAACCGATTTGGAAGGTAAAATGTCTGATGAAAGCAACCACTAAAGTACAGGGTGTTCAGTATTAAAAAAATTGTTTTGAAGCGAATTAACGGCGTTCGGTAAGCGGCATTCGACTGACGAGGTTATAAATATATAATAAACGAGTGATATAAAGAGTTTACAAAACGTGTTGCATACTGTACTTTTTCTACGACCCTCACGAAAAAATCACGATTTAACAAATTAAAAATAATAAGAGATCATCGGATTACTAACTTTCGTATCATTTAAACAACATGTATACCAGTTGCCATTAAACCTAGTCGTTTATCGTTGTTGTTGCTATTGTTGTCTCTTTTTAGACAGAGAGAGATGTATTATCGGATAACCGAATAAACACAATTTTAAAACGTTATAGTTTATTTAAAGAAATAGACTGTAATTGGAAAAAAATCATCCAAGGATAGAGGATTGCGTTTTTAAGATCCTATAAGCAAGAAAAAGCAGGTCCTAACCTTCAATTTCGTTTTGTTTCTACTGATCAGGCATGGATATTTGAAAATGGTACAATTGGTCGTGGCAATAATATTAATATAAAAACTGTAAAAACCGCTAAAGTTCATGCGAACGGTATGTAAAATTTCTGTTGGAAACATAAATTATAAATGTCACTTTACTTAGATATCACTAGATTTTAGTTGTAGCTTATACCACGTAATATTGAATTTGTCTGATTTATTGCATAACATTTTTCTGCGTATTAATCTTTTGGTACATTTTTGCAAAACAACTAGAATATATTCACTGACATGACCGTCAGAATTGAGAAACGTCAACACTCGTGACAAGTGACGCTATACCGGTGTGTAATTAGACACTTTACAGACGGGAGTGGTAATAGTATATTATGCAACAAGTGCAGTAAACGGCATTTGATTCACGAGTTAAAACTTTACGGAACGTGTAGCGTACTATACATAACATACCATACGGAAACATCAAAAATTAATTCCAAAAATACCGTTAGCAGTTGGAACAAACCTATATAATATATCGCTCGATAATTTTATGAAACGTTAAGTAACGCATTTTCTGCGGGCGCGACAAATACAGCTGCCAACGGTAGGCAACACTCCACGCACGCCATTCGATCATGGCGGAAGCGCTAGATCACGCATTACCGGATTTTGCCCTGATTTGAATTTTTTTCCGGTTTTGAAGAATTAGTATTTATAGCATTAAATGGTTCACATTACGAAACGAAACGTTGTAAATAAAAAGGCGTTTCAATAAACCGGTCGTGGTTGTTTACTTTGCCGCCACCTGGAATTATCCGTCGTAATCGCCAAGAAAAGTGTTGATTTTTCTTCCAATTACAGCCTTTTCCTTTAAATTGTAATTTTTTTCGTGACGTTCGTAGTAAAAGTAACACAAAAAGTAACAAAAAAACACGTGTGGTATTTTTTTGGTATTTATTAAGCACTCGCTCCCCTCCTACCAAATAAATTTGTGAGTGAAATGCCGTTTACGGCACTTGTTGCATAATATTACTATACTGCCCCAAGAAAACAAATTTTACTGCAGTTATTTCTCACTTACCAAAGTCCCTTGAAGAAATTACAATTTTTATTATTTTTTTATTATTAATTTTGATTAGCTCACTGAACGTGATTGGTAACGCAAGAATAAGTAACAACACTAAATATTTGAAAACTGCTAAGGAAGCCAATACGTAAGAATGTCAGCCGCGAAATCTATTTATATATTTTACGTTATTTATACATAACACTCACACCAAAATACCGTTTAAATGAATAATAAAAATTGCAAAAAAAAGCGTCCAAAAATTAAATCGATTAAAAATAAATGAAGCGGATCATAGCAAAATATGAAAAAAATATGCTCAAAATAAAAAAAAAAGCAATATTTGATTTTGGTTTTTCGTACTATAAATAACTATCCTTTTAGCATATGGATAAATTAGACTTTTTTTTTGGGGCATTCGGTTATTTTATTTATATTTCATCAACATCGACAGGACACATTGACATATCAGAGAATATTTTTTTTGCGATTATATCAGAAAACGCCACTTGGTGGAAAGTCATTTTAAAGTCTTTCGTTGTTGTCTTTTTAACTTGATTGTCATTTTCGCACAACGTGAAAGGGCGATACGTTTTACAATTTACCTACGGGAATACAAATTTTTTATAATTTTCATCTGCTCCTAAATATTTTCGGGTCGATAAATCAATATTAATTGTCGCTGAGTTAAATCTTATGTTACGCATATAAAGCCCTTTCCGAGGTTGTTCACTGCACTAGTGAAATAGATACGAATTGTCACTGAGGATGATCGACGAAGAGAAAATGGTACTTACAGCGAGGCGGATCTCTGCTCCCTGGTGCCCCCTTCCACGGGAGGCGAAGTCCTGGTGCGATGTTCGTACGCCATCTTGGCCCGCATGCTCTGGTTGGTCCTCGCGTGTCTCGGTTGTAGCGGAGGTGGTGACTCTTTCGCCGTACTCACGGCGATCGATGCCCTCTGAGCCCTGTGGGTGTCCGCTCCGTTCTGAGTCCTCTTGAAGTCGTCCCTATGAGTCGACCGTAGAGGCTCTGGTCGGCGCTGATCTGCCACGTGGTTCACCTTCTGACTGACCGCCAAGTTTCCGTTCAGCACCAGCTTCTGAGTGGTCGGGTACCTGGTGCTCGATCTCTCAGCGTACCCCCTTTGGTTCGGAAATCCCAAGTGCTGATCCGTCTTCGGAACGGGCTGAGGTGAGCCGTAAGGTCTGCTGCTGATTTGTTGGATGATGTGGTCGCCGGGACGCGTCTTGATCAGCGAATACCTCGGCACCCGTTCGGGAATACCTACTGCTTGGTGCAGCTGGTCCTGAGACGTCTTTTGGACCTGCGGTTGCGGGATCTGATGGCCCGATGTTGAATTTTCTTTCAATCTGAGAGAGAAAATGTCAGCCTAACTGCCTAACTAGAGATCCGTGGTTTCAAACTGTCCCAACACATCGACAAGGAAAACTATTTATAATAATAATAATAATAATTATTATTATAACAAAAAAAAACAATACATAATATTAATATTTTTCTACGAAAAGTAAACAGATAGCTTAAAAGCGGCGCAGTCTAGCTTTAAATACCTACTTACTGATCCGTTAAAGAACTATTTATATAATTAATAAATTGCGCACTATTTATTGAAATAAAAATTGGATGAACAACAAATAAAATATCAAAAATACCTGCAAAATCGGAAGAACAACAAAACTATCGAAAATGCAATTGAAGATAAATAATTTGATAACTCAATATAAGCCCTTGCTAATAACGTACTTAGCAACATATTATAAGGAAAACTGTATTTGCAACAAATGTTCCTTGTACCTTTTTTTAAATGACTATAAATTTAAGTTACTGAATTTCACGAAATTATAGATATTCACATGACAATTGTTTCGACAACACCGTATCTTTATCAAATGTAATATTTACAAACTACCTGCTGCTATATATACCGAAAAATGACTATAGAACCTATATTAATGTTGTTGTCAGAATTTAAGTTTAATAATGGACAGGTATTTAAATCTAATTGATCGTTAAGCAATACATTTGTTAATCTCCATTGCTTGCAATAAATTTAATTTTCTGTATGTAAAATACCAAAATTGGCGTCAAAAATGTATTTTTCTGTGTTTCTTCTTAATACGAAAATATATAATTTCGTGAAAATCAGAACTTTTAGTTCTTATTTATTTTGTTAAATGGATTTTCATCAAGTAAAAGCCACCTCAGTCTAATTACTGAATTCCTTTGACAAAGAATTATAAGCACGAATTGCGTTGAATGTGAGAGATTTACGAAACGAGGCGACGTTTTTCCATAATCTACCAAACCTTCATATTTTATATAGAAAGGGTATGTTCCTGCTCCATTTTTGGATCGCTTTTAAAGTTCCAAGTATTTTTCATAAAGCCTATTTTATACCTAAATTCAACCGTTTTTGCAGGAATGACAAAAAGCGAAAATAATTAAAGATCAAATGGATAGACGACTTTAACGAACTTAAATAACAATGAAACTATTTAAAAGCAAAAAAAGAGCATTTTGTTATTTGACAGAGCCCTACGTGATCTGAAAATTTTTCTGTTTGGAGGGCCAACGTGTTGGATGAGAATGCGCTGGACAGAGAACTTTATTTAGCTTGGTCCACTGGGAGTGTTCATTTGACCAATATCGGCAAATGTGTCGGTTCCATCAAAAAGTCGCCCCATCCGAAAATTTGGAATTAAAATTCATTAATCGATAATAAGAAATCGAAATTCTTCTCACCATGACGGGCCGGAATTGTTATCAGTAAGTATCTGTTTTCTTTGCTCGATTGTTGTGATTTAAGTTCACCAAATCGTGAAAATCGTTTTTTTGCGATTTTTACAAAAACGATAGAATTTGGGCATAGGGTTTGTTACACGAAGGTTACTTGGAAAACATACCTTTAAAATAAGAAAGTTAAGTGATTTAGAAAAAAAAAAACACAATTGCGGCAACATCGCCTATGTCACCATTGGAACCAGTTTAATTAACTTTTCACTAACCCCGTATATAATGTTTCGAAGAGCGCTTTGCTTGGTTAATTTTTAAAATTGCCACAAATTGTAAACTCATACCGTCTTTGAAATATGAATTATTTGTTATGATTCTTGTTGATCAATGTTTATTTACACAAGCGTAAGGAACACAAGCAACACAAAAACAAATTTATCGTGATCTTAATATTAATTTTGTGTAAGGAAAATTATTGGAATCTTTTGATGTAGATCCCAAATTTTTAAAAAGGCCTGTATGAGCACTTCCAGAAGCAAGACGTTGCCACGTTAATATAGAAACGGCAACACTGCGTATTGATAAATATTTTTAATATGTTGGGCCGTTCGCCAGGTCAGCCTTACTCTTAATGTATAATTCGACCAAAAATATAGTGCATTCATTGCTTTGACGTTTTACGTATTTTACGGTACCTTAACCGCAGACCTTCGCAGGACCGGGGTAAAACCCATTGTGATGAACCGTAACGAATATTTGTACAAAGTAGAAGCGTTTATTTGTTGATTTTTGGTGATTTGGATATGTATCTTTATTCAGAGCTTAATCTAAATTGCAATATGTTCGTATTTATTACGGAGGTATTTGACTGTGATCCTTTCAGTATGTACGTATTTATGTACCTGATTCTCGAGCTTTGACAATATGCTTCTTCTTGTATATTTGTGTCTTCTACATAGTTCTCCGAATTGTAAATAACAACAGTTTTTTTAAGACTATAAATTATATTCGCGATAGATGAAGGTACGTCATAAGAATACAGATATATATTTATTAGAATCTGAAAATAAAACATTTTTTGAAAGTTTGAAATGCTTTTTAACACTTTAAAATGTGGATATCGTGGAATGAAGCAGATGTTCCCTTGTTAGAAGACATGGAAAACAACTAAGTATTTGAAGACGAAGTGGAGGTGGTAGTAGAACCTAATGACAATTTACAAGACGAACTAACAATAGCAAATAAAAAAAAACAGATCCATTTGTCTTTGGATGTGTACTAGACGAGTCTCCACATGGAATACTCATGATAATTCCTCATGCTCATGCTGGTTACGAAAATGGTGGAAGTTGCCTTATTTTTGTCTGCCAAAAACGTCAAAGATTCATGCGTGGATATTTGTTAGTGTTGATAGATAAATTCCTAGGACGATCTTGGAATGGTTACGGGTAAGGGTCTGCTCGGCAGGGTGTTTTATAAGGGACTGCGGTTAATCACGGAGTCGGTTGTAAAAGCACTATATTTCTGATTGGAGTATAACCTCGTAGTGACTTCTGCAATTTCATTACTCACATTTCGGCACTTATTATCACCAGAATTAAGGCTGATATAAAACGGTATCCACCACGTAAGTGACGAAAAGCTGCAAAAGCAACTGTGTTGAAGTGATGTTCCGCTCACCTGTCGTTAAACTCCCGCTGCCAATCACTCTCGCATTCAGGCGGAGGAGGCGGCAGGGGATCGTCGTTGTGAAACACCTCGTCATCGAACACCGTCGGCGGCGAAGGAGGCGGCAGATCCGGGCTCGGTACCCTCTGGAACAGACCCGGATACGTGGACCTCAGGTTTGGGTTTTTCGGTGGTCGTTCCGGTGGCGTTTCTGGTACCCAATCGTCTACAGATATCGACGGGCCGACGATAACTGGTCCCACGAGTTCGGTCGACAAACTGCCGCAGGAATTGCTGTGCTGGTGTTTGGCACCGGATTTGGTCTCGGGTGACGGGAAATTGCTTCTCTTTAACACGTTAGTACTAGCCGCGTAATCACTAGCCGAAGACGCTCTGCGAGAGGGCACGGTCACCTTCACTTTGGGCAGCGATTGGGCTACGCTCAGCTGCTGAGCGAGTTGTGGCTCGGACCGCCAATGGTGGCTTTTGCCGGGACCGTTCTGGTGGTGCCTCTCGTAGAACGATAAAAGGGCTTTCTTCTGGATCGCCTTAAGGGTAGGGTCAGGAACTTTGTGTTTCTTATTCGGGTCTAGGTACGAGTATTTTTGTTGCTTTTCCAGCTCGCTTATTCTATCCGCTACCGACAACGCGGACTGGAGCGAGAGGGACAGTCTGTGGAGAAAAAAAAAAGGCGCGTCACGTGCCAAGCCATAGATGCATGGAAACGCATATTTTGCCCTATGATGTTCATTATTGAAAAAGATGAAATATTATTAAATTTATTAAAATGAAATTGTCAAATTGTAACAGGGTACGCAAGACAAAATTCCATTGAACCGGACATAAAATCAGTCATCCGAGACGGCGTTTATGCCCCTCATTTAACTGTGCCACCCCTGAAACAATATAAAAGCGAGCCGGTTTCAGTCAAGCTCTGAAGAAACCAACAGGATGATTGGCGAAACGTTAGCTAGTTCGAGTCAACAAAACCCGACGCAGGAGGGATCCAGAAGTTTTATAAAAAGTATTATGTGGAAGTTTCTTTGAAAAAAAAAAAGCTGTCGTTGATACGTTGTCCGAAATAGGATTTTGAATATTCGCCATTTTCAACTGCAATTTTTCCAAAACAAAAATGCCGATTAATCCGTATTTCCGAGCGGACGTGAAAGAACGCGACTTTTTAGCTGCTGACGGTAAAATGTGGCTTTCAAGGCTAAATCGAAGTCGACCATTAGTCAACATCAATATTTGCCTTCGCACGACAAAATAATTTCAAAAAAATCATAGTGAAAACAATGCAAAGTTGAGCGGTATTTCTAGGAAGGTGACATTTAAACATGGGCGTGCGGAGTCTATTGATATATCCTTATTTTTCGAATGATTTGCGGAGATTTTTTAAAATGTACTTTTCTTCAATAGAATTTTTTTTATTAACATGTTCACACGGCGCGGACGCTCACTATTGGTACGCCAATCATTTGATAGCAAATCAGTTCAATCGAGCGACGGACAGGGGCGGATTAAGGCGATATTTTCGAGGGAGCGGTAGAAATTCGCGCGCAGTCCGACCCTGCCTGTGGATAATTAAGTATAACGTCGAACTGTCCAACGTTTTTATTTATTTATCGGTCGGTTGCATAACGCGCAAACTAGTTTTTCCTTGACTTACCACGATCTGCGTAAATTGTTTATAACATGTTAATAATAACCGATATTTATTGCCGAACACATTAACCACGTTAATAGAGTAATTCTCGAACATTGTGACGGATCATCGAGCACACAATTGATTATGTCGCAAAGGGTCAGTGTCGTTTTTTGTTAGATTTTCATTTTCATTTTGATTCCATTTTGAGTTTTGTTAATTTATATATGTTAAATATAAATCTTCACACTTAGGCCTGTAGGTAGATGTACGTTGGTGATGTATGTTAATATTTTAAAAATAAACTATTTTTTTTTAACGGAATCCGTTTATTTTAGCATTTGTAGGTTATTTAAAAATTACAAATTTATAGGTCTTAGGTTAGGGATTCCCATATCCAATATCCATATCGACAAAAGCCTTACAAAAAGAGCGTTCAAAGAATAATATAAAAAATTAAAAATTATTAGGTTTTAGTTTGTGCAATTAATAGAAAGGTATTAATACAAAAGTAACCTGAATTTATTCAGTTTTTAAAAATGGGGCAACAAAACTTAAACAAGTTGACATTTTCGGGGAAAAAAACCAGATGGACCAAAACCTACAAATAAAAACGTTTGTTTTGCCTACACGTTGCAGTGAAAAAAAATATTTCCCTTTTTTTCCCTTACTAATATTTCGAAACCAACAATTTGAGCAAAAAATTATAATATTATCTTTATATTTAAAAGATCAACTCTCGACATTTTACATAAAATGAAACTTTCTAATGTTTCGCCAATTGTTGTCTGCTTCGGAGCTGAAATTGGCTCGCATTTTACTCTGTGCATGCTTATATATTGTTCGAAGGGGGCGGAGCTAAAAGGGGGGCGTGAACTTATCTCGGATGATCGACTCACGTATTGGTCAAGTCGCTGTTAAGAATGCTTGGGGAATTCTATAGTTGATGCGGAATGCTCTAAACTTTTGATACGTGGTCAGCGATGTTTCGAATGTCAAGAAGGGAAACAGCTGTACGTATGGCCTTGCATTGGAAGGTTATGTTGAAGTCTATTTTGTGATGGAACGTTTAATATCTTTCATGTGCAAATTATTAGAGCGAAGAGCAGAGAAAGAGGTTGAATTAATATTTTAATCTGGGTTCAGTGACTCGGGCTCAGATAGTTTTACGGCTCTGTCAACAAGAGTGTTGATAACCGATGATTTTTGGGCCGGATGGTGATGTGAGAATGCATTGATCCATCCATCTGTGTGCGTAGGTTTTCTGTAAACACAACGACCCAATTTTATGTCTGGTTTTCTATTCATAAGAATATCTAAGAATGGGAGGTTATTATTAGTTTCTATTTCAATATAAAACGTATGTTACGGTGAATAGAGTTTAAATGTCTAAGAAAATCTACTAGGGATTCTTGACCATGAGGCCAAATAACAAAAGTATCATCGACGTAGATTTCCATAATTTTGGTTTTAGATTTAGTCAAACATTTGACTGGTGAGAGGAACAGATAAGAAGGTTTAGTTCCAGATTCTCACATTTTAAGGCGTTCTGTCTTGGGTGAACTCACCTATTCTTCGACGTGTTATTACCGCCGCCTCCCCCGCCCCCGTCGTGCTGCCTCTCCGCCTCCTGTACCGTGTACGTGTTGACGGGAAACAACTTGAGTTTGTTCGCGTTGTTGTTCCGGATCTCCCTGTCCTTCCAGCCATCCTGGCGTCCCTCGTTTCCTCCCATGTAGAGGACGCTCTCGGAGTGGTGCCTCTGAGGCGTCTGTACTCTGGCACTGTGAGCGATCAGTTGCCTCGAAGAAGAACCGGCGCTTGGGTGCGTGCTAGCGCTACTAGCCACGGATACATCGCTCATCGAACCGTGCCACTTTAGGGTCTCACTAGAGGAAGCACTCCCGGAACTCGTGGTCACTACACTGTCTCTGCCGCCTTCGGCCGCCTCCCACGTGTCGGACGATTGCGGTCGCGACGCGGCCGCCTCGCTGTCCCGCCTCAATCTGTCCAGGAAGGGCGTCAAGGTCGAGTCCGTGCTAGACACGTAGCTGTGGTATCCCTCGCTCTGGGCGTAAGAAACCTGCTTTTGGTGAAGGTGCTTGGAGTTGTACAACGAGCTCTCGTAGCTCCGATTGTACTCTATGAACTCGTGCAGTCCGCCCTTGGTCAGGCCGTTGGTGTCGATGGGGTCCTGGTATGATTTCGCGTACTCCTCCAGGTCGGCTTGGGTGAGCTGAGGCTTGGAGAAGTCTCGTTCGGGGGGCGACGGTACCGCGTATTCCGCGTCGCCCAGCGGTTTTCCGTCGTGGTCCACATTGGGCAGGAAGAGCCTCTCCGCCATCTTGTCCGTCGCGCGCCTAGTCTCGTACGTTTCCGGCGGGATTTTCTCGCAACGTTCCATCACAGTTTTCAGTTTCTGAAAATGTTCCCGCGCTCGAGTAGATGTATAGTGCCGATATAAGCAACAGAAACCGTACATAACCTCAATTTCCTAACCCCCCCGCAGCGGGGGCCCCCCGCGCGTGGCGTCCTAGTGTCCCCCCTGTCTACCAGAGTGCGCTCCGCCCCCCACCCAGCTTGTGTAGCGTCCTGTTTTGCCCCGGTTCCGCCCGTCGCTGCTAGATGTCGCGCGCTTGTGTAGCGTCCTGTTTTGCCCCGGTTCCGCCCGTCGCTGCTAGATGTCGCGCGCTCCGACCGTCGTAGGCCCCCCCGGTAGAGGGCGGTGACGGTGCGGCGCGGTGACGCGGTGGATCGGGAGGATAATTAAATAAACTTGAATTTTAATACATTTTATTTTATTTTATTTATAAAATTGGTCTGGCGAGGAGTTTCTTCTTCTTTTTATGTCGATTCAGTCGACCATCCCATTGTTCCTGTTCCTTGCGTTGTTCTTCTTCCCGTTCCCGGAGGAAATCTAAATACGAAGTGCACTCCTCGCCGTCCCACTCCGTCGACCACCCACCCGGGTACTCCTGCTGCTCTTCTTTTGATCCACCGGGTTGCTCCTGCTGCTGGTGATGTTCCCTTGTCGTTTCATGTCGTACCGGGAATTCTAACCCCCGGTACTCTTTGTGTGATTTGAATATGTGACGCCCTAAGCGATGCGCCAACATAATATGCGACTTGTCATACGGACAAACCGCGATTTTTTCTAGAACAAAACAAAGTATGATATGTAGCGTTTCCTATAAAACACACATTTTTTTTTTTAAACAAAACTTCCAAAAAGGGGGGTTATCAAATAATTTTAAAAATTGTTTTTTAAGTTATACGCGCATACCAAAATTCACGTTTCAATTCACTGTCATTTAAATGTAAGTGTATTATTGTCAAAAGGGCAAACTGCAATTTTTTAGTACAAAAAATAAACAAAAATATGTATATATTTCGCGTTTTCCCCATAAAACGCACATTTTTGAAACAAAACTTTCAGTAATTTTAAAAATTGTTTATTTTTTAAAAGCCAAAATTCCCTATTCACTGTCATTTAAAAGATATTAAAAACGCTCAATTTAATTCGATTATTATTGTCAAAAAGGCAAACTGCAATTTTTTAGTACAAAAAATAAAACATTTTTGAAACAAATTTAAAAATTGTTTATTTTTTAAAAGCCAAAATTCCCTTTTCCATTCACTGTCATTTAAAAGCTATTAAAAACACTCAATTTAAATCGGTTATTATGCAACGTAAAAAAGATGAGTATCATATTTTAAAAACAGGTAGAAACTAACCAAAAAAGTGATAACCCAAACTGAAACCCACAAGAAAAGACGCGCACTGTATAAAGGTAATTAAAATATAAAACTTACCAGTTGTAGGGTCGTAGGGAAATGGACATCGCACTTCTGTATTCATTGCACTGAATATAGTCTATAATACACATGCAACGTATTTATACACATGCACTCCCTTCCATGGTTGAATTAAAAGTCGAAAGGTCTTCTACCCACAAGCACCAACGCCGATTTGAATAGACGCGATGTTGTCGCCAGACAACCGTGCAGGTAGGAGTCTCAAGGTCAACACGCTTTCACACGGGAACGCAACCGCTTCGGACGTTGGACGAACGTATGTTGCCGCAAAAGATCAAGGCCAACTTGCTTTCATTTTTTACAATCTCCGTATGGGATGTGGAATTTCATAACGCGCCGAGTCTAAATGTCGAGTTGTTTTGCTTGTTGAGAATAATAATTAATTGCCCCCTTTATATTTGCTCCGTGGGATTAACGTAATGGGAAAAATTTGTTGCAACGCATGTGGAGGTGTCTTCGTTTGTTAACTTTTAGAAAGTATTCTCGCACCGTATAAATACATCTCATTTTTCTCTGTTTTGTCAGTAGTTGTTTTTGGTATTATTCGTGCAACGTGGAAGCTAACTTAGTAGTTTGGTGTTCGTACAAAAAAGCAGTAAGTACCTTTTTTATTGTCTTATTTTAATTCTTTAACATTTGTTATTATTTTATAAAGGTCCTAAAGATCATCTTAGTACTCTCAACCCGTAACCGCAAATAGAATAGCAGCAATCTTAAGCGTAAGTTTTTTTTATTTTTTTAATTTTGAGATAAAATAATTAATAATAATTTATAGATGGACTTAAGTCAACTGAATCAAACCTGTCTTGCAGAAGGTGATTTTGAGCAGCCGATTGTCAAACTGCATGAATTGCCGATAGGCGTTCCGTTTAAAATTACTAGAGCCAAAATTGTTAATACAAAATTTGGCAATTCCGTGTTGCTGCAATTAGAAAATTCCGTAGTATTTCTTCCTACTCGCGTGACAGAAGCTTTCCGTCCGAGACTAGAACACTTTGCGTCGGGGCAGTACAAACTGGTCTACGAGGGATCCAAAGATATTGGAAAGCCCAACTCTTTAAAGAAATTCAAAATAATTCAAAATTAATCAACATATTATACAGGGTAAGTCTTATTTACTGTTATATATTTAATAAACCACGATGCGCGTAAAGCAGATCATTCATAGAGCGCAAATCTTAATTTTAACCTTACAAAAATTAAAAAAGCATATTTCCGACAAGTTCACTCTTAGAGATAGTGATGTGTGGCTTAGGAGACTAAATAAAAATATTGAATCTTGCAACCAAATCGTTTCTAACGAAAAGGATTTATCTATTGGGTTAAAAAGAAAATTACAAACTACAATTCAACATCTGAAAGCTATTAGAAAAATTATTCTTAATTATCAACATAAGCATTTTGGATTGGGATTACAAAGTAGTAGCCGCGAGACAAACACAAATGAAATGGTTGTATGGGAATCGGTAGCGTCGTGTTTCCAGGGAAGAGTTCAGACTGGTGTCATAATTAATTTACTTCATAAAGATTTAATTCAATTTTTAAACGATTCTCGTCCAATATTTCAACAAAAAATTAGTCAAATTTTAAAGAAATTTTTATTGCTGAAAGTAAATACCACATTTTGCGGTGAATTTATTAAGGCAAAAAATGATGTCCAAGGCGAAGTTGATGTTAAATATCTGAGTACCGGAAATGCTGTAGTTGATTTAGGAACAGAATTGAATGATTGGTTTGTTGAAAATGTGCAAGATAAAATTTTAAATCAAATGTCAGAGTTTCAGGAACGTGATTCCGGGTGGGCTTTAAATAATATTATTTATTTAGAGATTAACATTAATAAATTTGAAATGGGTAACGGGTCATCCTTCGTTGAGTTGCCTAAAGAAATTGCGAATAAAAGGGCTTGTATTAACATTAGAAATGACGATCAAGCGTGTTTTTATTGGTCAGTTGTATGCGGACTCTTTCCAGCACGTTTTCGTCAGTATTTACCCTCTTCATATCCATACTACAAAAGTGTTTTGAAAACTGAAAATTTACAAACACCTATGGAAATGAATAAAATAAGCAAATTTGAAAAAGACAATGATATTTCCATCAATGTTTATATCTTAGAGCTTAATAAAAATGAAAAAACTAGTTTTTATTCCGTGTTACCTGCACGATTAACAAAAGAAAAACGCGAAAAACATTCAAATTTGTTGTTAATACAAAATAAATATTATCCAAAAGTTAATGATTTTGATCCTGATCCGCAAGATAATGATTATGAAGAAATAAAATATCACTATTGTTACATTAAAAATTTGTCTCGATTAGTTTCCTCACAGCTCAGTAAATATAATCACAAGAAATACATTTGCGATAGGTGTTTGAATTATTTCAATAACGAAACTCGTCTACATGACCACGAAACAATATGTTCCAGTTTCAATGAGTATAAAGTGTCTTTTCCCAAATATGATTACGTTGAATTTCGAAACCATATATATAAACAAAGGACTCCGTTTGTAATTTACGCCGATTTTGAGAGTCAATTGAGAAAAGTAAATTTGAAAATTTCAGATAAAACCTCGAAATACCAAAAGCACGAAGCTTACAGTGCTGCATATTACTTTAAATGTTCTTATGATGATTCAATATCATTTTTCAAAAGTTATCGTGGTCTAGATTGTATTGATTGGTTCGTGGAGGAAATATCTAATTTATCAAAATTTGTTCGTTCAAAATTTAAGGATATTATACCAATGGATAGTGAAATTAGTCTAGATCAAAGGTCGAGTCATTGTCATATTTGTGAAAAACCTTTTTTAAAAGAAGATGTTATTGTTCGTGACCATGATCATTTTACTGGTAAATTTAGAGGTTTTGCCCATCAGGCTTGTAATTTAAATTTTAAAAAAATATTTGTAGTGCCCGTAGTATTCCAGAACCTTTCTGGATACGATAGCCACTTCCTGCTTCCGGTTTTAGCAAAAAAAAGCTATGTATCCATAGTTCCGGTTAATAAGGAAAAATACATCTCTTTTACATATTTCGAACCTGATTATAACATAAAATTTAGATTTATAGATTCGTTTAGATTTTTGGGAGCATCTCTGGATAATTTAGTTTCCAGTATGGATAAAAATGAACTATATATTTTAAGAAAAGAATTTTCCGATCTCGACGAATCAAAATTAAATTTACTGTCGCAAAAAGGTATTTTTTGTTACGATTACATCGACCATATAGACAAATTAAATGAAACAACTTTACCCCCGATTGAAGAATTCTATAATAAATTAAGTGAAAGCAATATTAGTGAAGAAAAATATTCCCACGCACAAAGTGTTTGGCAGTCGTTTGAAATAAAAAATTTAGGCGAGTATTCAGATTTGTATTTAAAAACCGACGTTATTCTTCTGGCAGATATATTCGAAAATTTTCGAAAAACTTGTATGGCAACACACGTTTTGGATCCGGCGTGGTATTTCAGTATGCCCGGGTATACATGGGATTGCATGCTTAGATTCACAAAATGTCGTTTAGAACTTTTGCGCGACATTGACCAAATTATGTTTATCGAGCGGGCTATACGAGGTGGAATTTCGGTGTGTG